AATCTACAGGTTAGGGAGTTCGGGTTCCCAATCAGAGGCGTGCGCATGTACCGGAGGTGAAATACTCACCGGATCACTTCATCTGGATCACGCCACATACAGAACAACAAGCCCTCCATCGGTTAAATGGTACCAGACTCATCTGGGAGGATAAGGACCCTGATTTTTACATTGGCTGGCACTCATAGGTCATTGTGAAAACTGAACGGTATTCAAAATGCTGCTGTGATTCTGAATTGAGAAAAAAATCCCGCAAAAGAAATGTAAATCAGTTACATTCGGTGACGGCCTTCGTCATTGTGATGTATAGTCTGAACCCGACGATTTCTCGATGTTTGAAAGGGAGGGTAGGTCATACCAGCTTCATCGCACAAATTGCGCGATTAGGGCGCTAATCCTTACGGGCCTGCAACCATCGACCCCCGTTGCAACGCTTCCCACCCACCGCGATTGATGTAGAGATCAGCGTGCTCTCTCAAACGACGTGCTCTCTCGCGTGTTTTGTCTTCTTTGATCGCCCTGTCGTACCACATCCGACCTTACTGAAGGTTAAGGCCTTAATTTCAGCGTTTCCGAGATTTCTCTTGCTTTCCTTTCCACTTTCAATTCACTCCACAGTTCAGTCATCAAGCGATCCTTACACCAGTTTTATTCCTGGGCTTGCTTTTTTTGAGCAAAATCAAATATCCTGTGTGGCATATTGGATTTGAGATCTGAGGCTGTTGAACATCACTTCACTTGTGTTCTTCAGAGGTTGCTTGCTACCCCCCCCCCCCCCCCTGTAGCCTCTGTAGCCTCTGAATGTCGGTTATTCGCCTGACACTCCCTGACAGCGATGCTTCGCGGATTTTTTTTATCGAAATGCCATCCATTAACCCTTCAGAACACCTGGGTTTTGAGAGTGCTACCATGAACTTTTCAGGACACCTGGGTTCTGAGAGTGCTGCCACTCATTCTCCGGGTAACTTACACGACCCTCAGCATTGTTTTGTAAGAATACGCAGTTTAGACGAGCCTTTGTCAAACGGAAGGGATTACTTGTCTTTGGAAGAATTTATGGTGATTCTCGGACTTTATGCAGGTCAAGGGAGGAATTTCCTGCAGAACATTGTTGCGGAAAGCATCCGCCCGTCACACTTCTTCCGCCCTAAAATTGCAACCACTACCGTGAATCGGCTACCCACACACCCGTCAAAGTGTTTACATCCACAAAACTGTCTAACTAAAAGTTTTTCATCCGAAAAAATGCCAACCCTTGGTATTTGACAGCTATGGTGCGATTGTGACGTAGGCTCATGTCAATCCCTTCGAAATCCAGTTTTGAGGTTGTGCCTCCTCTTGATGACCAGTAAGGCCCAGGTATATCAGTTCTCGTTCACTTACGACGTCATACTTCTTCCGTTCTCCCTGCACTTCCGATTTTTCCATACATTTCATGATTAGCAAATCTTCTTCCAAGAGGAAGTACTGCTGAAACAACCCGCTTGCTTCTTTGTTAGTTATTGCGGGTAAACTTTTGTGGGTGTTAAAAACTTGTAAAATATTATATTTGGAGATATGGGGATTCCTTGAGCATCACGAAATAAATAATGGTCTACGTACCAAGCGGAGCTCCACGGAAAACATGAATCTGGCCTTTTGTAAGAAAAAATTCGGACCATGAGCATTTCGAATGTATTTAATTTAAAAATTATAAAAAAATTAAAACCACATATAATGCAAAATGCAAAATTATAAATATATAATATATATATTGTACAAAGTTGATACGTGTAATATAAAGGATAAAGGATAAAGCATTTGCCGTTGATCAATCCCTTTTTGGGATGCGGCACGCATTCTACTTCCATTTGTACATTCGTAGTGGCGTTTGAATGCGATGTGGCCTATACAATGACTTGCGGGGGCCAGCCGATGTACAAGTCAGTGTTTTTATCCTCCCAGACAAGTCTGGTACCAATTAACCGACCCCGGAGGGATGGAAGGCTTGGTTGGCCCGGGCGACGACCCAGGATTTGATCCCCGGACCGCTCGCGTGGTAAGCGTGCCACTTGCCACTACACCACTTCCGCCCAAAAAAATTGGAACGCTTCACGAATTTGCGTTCATCCTTGCGCAGGGGCCATGCTAATCTTCTCTGTATTGTTCCAATTTTAGTATATGTTCAGGAATGAGTAATCATGACATATATTCAGTCCTGTAGTCAAAATTCGTTTCTGAGTATTCAGTTTTCTAGGGTGACTATAATTATGAACTACAAAAGCTAAAAAATAACCATGAAAAAGGTAGAATAAATGGCACTTTTGACAAAATTGGGACGCTAGGGGTGTTCACGGTGAAAAATCAGACAGCTATATAAGAAAAACTTCTAGCTGACTGCTTAGTTCCAGAAATACAGTGATTCTGTAGTTATGAACGCCACTGAAGAATCATCCAGTGGCTTACCGTTCTTGCACATGCTCGATCAAGTAATAAATTGTTACTATCACGTCGTATAATTTGCGGCGGCAGGTAGAAATAAATAGTGCAGTATCAAGGTGGCTTTGCGAGCCTATCCACAACATTCTAAGATCAAAAATTCGAGAATGTAAAGCCGTATGGCAAAATCGGAGCCTTTCTATCTTCGTTCGCTTCCGCACGAAACCCGTCTAGATCGTCTGGAAAAAAACGCTGACTTGCACTTCGGTTGCTCCCTAAAGTCTGGCATAGGCGAACCGCATTTGAATGTCACTACGATTCTGAGCTGCAGTAGAAAGCGTGACGCTCCAAGAAGCAACTGATGAATACACATGTTTTATTCATTCATTTTTCTACACCATTTTCTCTCTAAAAATATACCCTTACTTCTTCGTTTTTTTTCTAAAAGCATGTGTTGAAATTCGTGATCCTTATTTCGTGATCTTGGAACATGCACGTGGAATTATTTGAAGGCACCCCCTGATGAATATCACTTACCGCGAAGTATTTGTTTAGATTGAGTTGCCATGGATCGCAACAGTACTGACCTCGAGCACAAACGCTGAGCATTATTAGGTGAGCTGTTGAATTTTCGCTTCTTTTTCATGTATCCTCACATTTATTGAGTGGTTTCCAAAATAGTAGTCACCACAAAATCCAAAATTTGCTCGCTTTGAACCCGCTTCTTTAGATCAGTGTTTAGAAGCACGTACTTTGAGACGCATATGATTGACGTATAGCTTGTCGCTGAAATGATTTTCTCCTCAACAACAATTGCAATATCCTCAGCGAAGAAGATTGATAACTAGGCCGATTCTGTGCTACATAAATGTGAGCTTACTGCCTGAGCCACTAGCAAATTAACTAGATGTGAGAGTCGTGTTGTCGACCTTTAAAGGCAACCAGCAGAAGGTCGTTGTAAACGAATTCGTTCGGTCTGTAAGGAGTAGGCCTCTAGGATAATCATCAGATTGTGGACTCCTCAAATGGAATCACCTATCGTTAGGCCTTTGTAAAAAGGTGGTGAAAGCTTGGTCAGATTATTTTCTGTTATCATGGCGTTTCTGGCAAACTATCGGTCACCCTCTTCGACCTTACTTCCTTCCTCGTTTGTCTTGCTCATTGCGTGTGTGGTGATTAGTCTGGAAGGGGTGTGAGCTATGTGTTATTTTTCATGGGAGGGGGGGGGCCAAAATTGTGATGGCATTATATGTTGTTAGGCTTTGTGGCACAGGGGGGCGCTTGTTGATGAGTTGTGGGAGGTTTAGTCAGATTGTATCTCTTATAATGTCTTCGCCTTCCAATAAAGAGGAAGACCTTTCGTTCAATGCCCTTCACGTCCCTTCATAGTTTAGGCTCTGCGAAGTAGGGTAACGTGATAGCTTACGCGTGAATGCTGCGTAAAATTTCATCGTCAACTGACTTCGACTTAATTCGTGTTGTGTGTGTACTGGTAAGGGACACGATTTCGAGGACCTCGTTGAGTTTGAACGAGTTAAAAAATGTTGTGTGTCGTGTGTGTGTGTTATGTCAGCGGATGTGTGAGTTAAAAGGATCTATGAGTTTTTGATAGTTGATCGTTCTTCAATATCGAGTTGAGGCGTGTTGTGTGTGATTTAAGAATGTATTTAATTCCGTTTGACGTAGAGTTTTTTCTTTTTTTACCTTCCTTTCTGTTCAAGATGAGACGGTGCTGTTGGGAATATCATATACAGATTTGGATAATACTGGCGTGGTGTTAGTCCCCTATCTCATACAATTCTTTAGAATCGGGGCCGCTTTTAGCATTTCACAGCGCGCGATGTGGATGATGATATGCAAATTATTGGTGTTGAGAATGTGTATGTAACTCATCCCGCTAATCAGAATCGTGGCTACGTAGGCAAAAATCGGCAAGATGATACGAGTTCGGATAGCGGTGGGAAAACAGGTGATATATGATTTATCGAAGGACGAATGTGATTTTAATATGCGGTTAAAGAAATAAGCGAAGTTTAGAACCAATGGCGCAGACTACGTTGTGTTTGTTGAAAGCTTTGAAAGCCCGGCAAGAGTTTTCAGAAGTCCCGTTTGAGTTATTGCTCTCTTCGAATGATTTTTCATTCTTATTTGAATTTGTTGTTTGTTGCTTGTGTACTACTTAGCTCTTGATGGGACTTCCCCTCTAAGGGGTCACAGGTGGTTCGCCCCCTCAGAGGTCTCCTCCTGAGTTAGGTAAATATCCTCACCTTTTTGACCACAATTGTTTCTTTGCTTCCTCTTTTATTGATGGAAGAATGGAAAATAGTGCGTCGTGAATGCCTTGGCTGTCTGCATTATTATTCCCCCCCCCTCACCTTCTCTTCTACAGGCAGGAGAAGGGCTGGAAACGCCAAGTGTTGCACTTTTCAGTAATTGTTGCTGAAATCGAATTATTTACAATTAAGATCATTTGAAGGGCGGGCATGATCAGAATGATTGGAATTGCTACCACGCTAATGGTGTACGTGGGAGGGGGTGGGGCAGAAGAAGGGGTTACTTTCTCTCCTAATATTTACCACTGGTTCGAGCAAACTTCACCACACTGTGCCTAGACGTTTTCGGCCACAAAATCAACAACAGAGTGTGTACGATCAAGGGATTCCACAATAGCCCTCTACACAAACGACTTCGGCAATTTTCGCTTCGCGAACACGATGTAGTTCTCTGGGCGCGGAAGGGGGTTTCATATTACGATGATTATGAGAAAAATCAACATGCTCATGCTTCATCACATGATATGCACGCAATCATCGTTTTGTTTCTCGTTTTCGTGTGGTACATGCTATGAGCGAAATGGTTTTTGCCGCCACCCCTTCCCTCCGCCCTTCCTTCCGTCTCTGCCGAGTTTTGCGTGGCGACCTGGCTTATCCGGATAATTGCACATATGCCAAGCCACTCAAACTTTCGTTTGGGGTCAGGGTGGAATTGGAAGTGAATTGGCCCAAATATTGTGACTTGCATAGCCAGCCGATGTCAAACAGGTCTTATTGTTCATCTAAGCTATTTTGTTACTATTCAACCGACCCTGTAGGAGGAGCTAGGCTTGTCTCTGAGTAAGATGCGGCCGCTACAGCCTCAGCGCTGTGTCACAGAGTCACAGAATCCATCGTGCAAAGATATCTTTGTAAACTGTAGAGAACTTTGTGGAGCAACGCAATATTTGCGCAAAAGTGATGAAGCCTTGCCGCGCGCTCCTATGGGTGAATAAAATCCCAGGGAATTTGAGTAGTGGCTCACTTTGCCGGGGAAAACCCAATCTTGATCATTCTTAGTGTCACTTATATTTCACAGTAAAACGGTTGCTCGGCCGTATCTATGCTATTTCGCTTTGTCTCTACGTGAATCATTCGGTTATACTTTTTCAATCACATGCCCTACCGGGTCGGTCGGGCGTCTCCATCGGATTCTACTCGAGTGCCGCTGTCAGCTCTCCCCCCCAGCGAGGTCGCCCTCCTACAAGCTACCCGGTGATACATCTTTTGGGTATTGAGCTTCATTTCTTTCCGTGCCCCTTTCACGCTTTAATTTGCCTCTCCGATTACCCATTTTTGACTTTTTAATCCCCTCTCAGGCTGGTAGGACACCAGCCTTCGTTCGCCTACCTTTCCAGCGCTTGCATTCACCCGCCTTGTCATATTCTTTGCGTGATGTTGTCTCATCTCGTTGATTAGATAACGCTCGCGCCATTGCTAATTTCTCTATAAACTTACATTATTCGGAAGCGAAGCACTCGCAACCCTTCAACCCTGGCTTTGGACCATTATGTTTCTGCCGTGCCCACGAATTCGCACACCTTTTCATTTTGAGACCCAAAACAATTCCTGAAAATCGCCATTAATTTTCATTTCTATAGCAGTTTGAAGAAGGTTTTCTTTCGATTTTATAACTCATCTCTTTCACTACTACTTCCATAAAACATAGCCCTTTGTGAGATCGCACTTGCTTCGTTTTTCGCCTGCTTTACAACATCAGCTGGTGACTTCGTGTAGGCCAGACGTTCAGTACCCTCAAGGCATCCTATAGCATAACAGCTTGGCAGCCCACGTTAACCCAATTGTTTCAAAGACTATATATTTCCTCTGTGTCCTCTCTTGCTTTTACGTGACGCTCTAAGTTTGCACTATAATTTCCGAATTTATAACTCTTATCGATTGCCTACGCAACAAACCGGAAAAGGTTTTTCTTGGAATAACCCCAAGCATAGCCATCTCAACCTGAAGCGGTGACAAGATGTACTGAGGAAATATGGCAGCTGTGATGAAACCCCTTCCAGAAACCCGGAGATCGAATTCTTCTCTCTTTCGAACCTGAATTTTCTTCCGTGGAAAAATTTCTCATTCTGCCATTGTTTATTACTGGGAACGCTTATACATATATCTTTGGAAGCTTTGGACTATCTATGGAACATAAACTATGGAACTAATAAGCTTTGGAAATTAGCTCAGCTCTTTAGTTTTCTAGCTTATGTCGAAACAATTCCAAATTTCTTAGTTATGTCGACAAAGTTTATGATCTTACACAGCATTATATCATAAAGTTTTTGGTAAGAAATTGAACATATGGCAAGCATTTCATTAGTCATTTTGTTATTTAGTATCATTCAATATTTATGCCACCGCGCAAGACCACCGGAAGGTTAAAAAAACTGATCCCAGCCGCACAGCCAGCGCATGCCCTCCAATCCACATCGTCGCCCAA